TTCGGATGATGGAGTCAAGCCTTTTCCATTGGTATGTGCTTCATATCCGGATGATGGAGTCAAGCCTTTTCCATTGGTATGTGCTACATATTCGGATGATGGAGTTAAGCCTTTTCCATTGGTATGTGCTATATATTCGGATGATGGAGACAAGCCTTTTCCATTGGTATGTGCTACATATTCGGATGATGGACACAAGCCTTTTCCATTGGTATGTGCTACATATTCGGATGATGGAGACAAGTCTTTTTCATTGGTATGTGCTGCGTATTCGGATGATGAAGAAGAGCCTTTTCCATTGGTATGTGTGCTATTCGGATGTTCGAGATCCCGCACAAACCGTCAGGGAATTGGATACCGTACTAGCTTTCAATAGCACACCGTAACACGTACGCTAGCATCGAATGTACGCCATGAAGTACTGTGACGGACTGCGGGATTCCTCATACATAGACGATGGAAAATGTTCCTTGGATCTCTATGATAGGAGAAAGGACAAAAAGCTGTCATTCTAGTTTGTAGAAATGACAGCCCTGGACTGTCACAATACTATCGCATAATTACAGCCCTGGGCTGTCACGATTCGGAGGCATAATGACAGCCCTTGTCGATTGGTTGGTATAGGTGAGGGCCGATACCCATGATTAGAAACAAGACTCACCCACACTCCACATGTGTGCAGCAAGTAGCTGGTAGAGGTGATGATTTGTGCCCATAATCATAGTCAGCGAGGCCTTCGAGTAGTAGTCATCCATGAGATTGATGTTAGCAATCACATCCTGAAGTAGGTGTGCCTTGCCGCAGTGTGTCCCAGGAGCGAGATACTTAACATGGGTGAAGTGACTGTGATAAGAGAAGAGAAGAGAAGAGAAGAGGAGCTTAATACGAAACTACAACACACGTCATAAACTATGGACAACTTTGTGCAAGAAGTATACATACACAGATAACCAAGTACGTACAAGAGTTCCTGAAGAAGAAACTTATGAGCAAAAGCAAGCGAACTGGACAGATATGAACAAAAAATAGTATAGATAAGAAACTTACACATGGAAGTGGTAGTAGGATGGCTGGTAGTGGATAAACACGCGTTGCATGGACAGCGGGATCCCATACTTCTCTGCCAGGCATTTAGAACCTAAGGATTGGATGGGTTGTTTGAGTCAAGTGCGAACGTAAACCGCATGAAAACTAACAAGACATTTAAAACCAAAGGATTGGATGGGTTGTTTGAGCCAAGTGCGGTCGTAAACAGCTTCAAACTAGCGAGATGCACATCCACAGAACCATGAAGGAGTGTTTCGTGAGTGAATGAGCGCTCAGAGAAGTGCCAGTACTCGACAGTATCGTACAACACAGATAAACCGAACCACATCAGCCATTTCAGAGATGTTCGGTACTAATACACCATAATGTTCATCCGAAATGAATTGTGCACTGTGATATACATCCGATCAAACCTCTGTGAGAGAGAAAAGGACAGGTATCTGGCCTACCTTTGTCCAGGATATTCTCCAGCAATGGTAGCAAATTCCGAGTCAGATCGCGAACAGAGCGTACGTTACGGTTTTGCACTATGGCCACGCAGTAGCAACTCTCCGGCTGACTTCCATCCCATTTCTGTGGGTGTACATAAAAAAGGCACCAGACAGCATGCAAGAGGAGCCATGAATAAATGAGAACCACTTTTAGAGCGGCTGAGATTCAATCACACCAAGCCTATCGTAATTCGTGCTACGAGAAGGGAAGCAAACTCAGTGAAATGCTACATTGAGGGGTTATTATGCCATCTCTCTAGGAACACCGGGCGTCTGGCCGCATGTGTTAATAGTAAACTCTACATAAATAAAAGCTATACACTGATCAAATTTAACTATTGTAAACTCAAGACGAAGAGTGCGCGTTATCAAGCCAATACCGCTTTCCGGCCATGGACCCTTCACCAAACATTATGAAACAGGAGAACATACCTGTGCTCTATCGACCAGTACATAGTGCACCACTTACTACGCCGTCCGTTACTTCTAAATAGCACACCTCATGTAATACAAACGCTATAGGTGGACTATGTGCGATATATTGTATTCCTTACATACCATGTCCACGAGTAGAACACTTCATGCATCACAAACGCTATAGGTGGACTATGTGCGATATATTGAATTCATTACATACCATGTCCATGACTAGAACACTTCATGCATCACAAACGCTATAGGTGGACTATGTGCGATATATTGTATTCCTTACATACCATGTCCACGAGTAGAACACTTCATGCATCACAAACGCTATAGGTGGACTATGTGCGATATATTGAATTCATTACATACCATGTCCATGAGTAGAACACTTCATGCATCACAAACGTTATAGGTGGACTATGTGCGATATATTGAATTCATTACATACCATGTCCATGAGTAGAACACTTCATGCATCACAAACGCTATAGGTGGACTATGTGCGATATATTGAATTCATTACATACCATGTCCATGAGTAGAACACTTCATGCATCACAAACGCTATAGGTGGACTATGTGCGATATATTGAATTCATTACATACCATGTCCATGACTAGAACACTTCATGCATCACAAACGCTATAGGTGGACTATGTGATATATAGTGTATTCACTACATACCATGTCCATGACTAGAACACTTCATGCATCACAAACGCTATAGGTGGACTATGTGAGATATATTGTATTCATTACATACCATGTCCATGACCAGCACAAACCCATCTGTGGGATCGTCGTCGCGAAGGATGACGCGGTCAGCCTCCTTGGTGCCTTCGATGATGTTGTACACCCACTGAATGCTGTTTATAACGGGAGTCAGACACATGTATCATTGAGCATAGAACACATACTATACGTACAAACATTTAAACGTCCTACGGTTGGGAGCTTCTAAGGTTCCCTGCGTTCTACCAGAAGTTCACTATAAAGTCAAATAGTATAGGGGGTAGTGAGCATGTCACAAACAAGCTTATCCTGTGCTGTGTGGTGGCGCAGGTTATGAAGCTCACGTAGGCAGCTCACGTAGCACTTAAACACTAAACAAAACAAACATGAAGTACACAATACACCACCCCCCCCCCCAACTCCAACCAATATCCGACAAATGAATGACCGGAGAGTCATTGCTATAGCTTGCGATTACAGCACCAGCCTACCCACATCCACCTACAACACACCACCTACCGAGAACTGGGAATGCCTTTGATGTACGGCAGAGTGACCTTCTGGTACAACTCGGGCGTCTCCGTAACCACAGCCATGTCCTGAGGGCTATGGAGAGTGGTGCGTGTATTGCAAGTGTGAAAGGGTAACAGTGTAAAAGGGTAAGAGTGTGGTACCGGGCGAGAGAGAGAGAGAGACAACTGGTAGGAATACAAGCACGTACGAAGTATGACATCCGTAGAGAAATAGGTATTAACGGTATAGACTCCCATTCGAGATAGGCCTATATTGATGGAGTCACCCGTAGCGACTATAGAGACTATAGTGTCTACGGCATCACTACCCTGGTGCAAGTGAGCCCAGAAATGTATTCCTGAGACAACTCCGCACTCTATCCCAACCAACCTCTCGTGTGGACCACAGGCACCCCAGTCCAACAAACTCAGGGCCACAGCACCCGCACGTGTCCCCATTTTCAGGACAAACCTTTGTCACACTGCAATAGCACGTACCCATATTTACGGAAATGGGTCTCCGTTGCCGGACAGATGAGCTTCAATGACAACCGGTTGAATTCGGGGGCAGACAGGCCCGTCAAATTGCTGTAGATGTCATTGTGCATCTCGATCGACACGTCCGACAGCGAAGCAACCTGGCTGTGTACGAAAGAAGGAAAGAATGATTGAGATGTCGTATGTGTTGCATGCGAACGTCTCTTTGGGCTAGACCAGTTATTACTGTACAGCCGTCTCGATGGTACTAGAATTCAGTTATTATATAATAAATGCATATGATAATATATACTATGTATATTCAAGGGTGAGCCGTAAAGATTGAGTAGTTCGTTGGTAGGTACCAATATCGAGTATGATGAATTGTTGACAAACAGGGGTCAGAATGATAGCAATGTCATTGTTGCTTAACCAGTATGCAAAGACAAAGTTTGTTGAGCAGCTTGTTGTCAAATCTCATCGTCCGCGGGCAATGTAATTTGTTACGGTTTCGTGTTTCGATGTATCTGGTCGAAATAGAGTTTGTGCGTTCTGATAGTATTGTTAAAGCCAGCCCAGTGCATATGCATAACCGCAAAACATGCGTACGCATATGCATGTATCAACATATCCACTCATACCGGTTGATAGGATAAATCTCCATGCAAGTTTGACGCCAAATAATTTTACTCGTAAATATAACACTCGATCGACAGAAGGTACGTTGGCGACTTGACGCTATGCTATGACCCATTCAACAATGAGGGTCGGTTTTATTTTAGAAGCCGCTAAAAGCTTATACTACAGACCACTTGCTTCACAACTACATGCAAGCGTTTATGCCCATATCAGTACGACTATGCGTATATCCGGACAACGAAAGCAACAATTTACTCTAAGTAATGTAAAACAACACTCGCCTCTTGAAACAAATAAATTAAACAGGACACACATATGGTGTATGAGAAAGACACAATACATCGTTCGAAAACTCACCTGCTGATAACATCGCATTTGAAGGGAGGTTTCTCGAGCACCAGGATAGCCGGCTGACCCTTCATGCTGTCGTGAAAACACATTAAGAGTTAGCGACAGGTAGTTTGGACTGCATACAGCCATACGCAGCTTTTGAGGAAACACGCCACTAAACTCATCCAGTCATACCATGTAATTCCGTCGCGTGCTAAAGTGTTTACTGAGAACACTGTAGAGGTAGATCTAATACATCCTGAAACAGGCAGAAACCCGCCCAGAGAAGTACTCTGGTTTAAGTGACACTGTGTACAGGAGTTTGTAGTGTTGACATAACAAATATAAAACTTTTGATTGCTGTAGCTATTGTAGTCTACCTTCCAATCAATCACAGCATTCGAATGCTAGCAACGTCCAATACCTTTCAAGAAGTACACAAACGATACGCATACTGTCCCCTCCTATTAACCTACATAGTCTATATCATATGGAAGCATCTGCGAATTCAAAATAAGTCAACAATGACCCTTCACATTTCAAACAAGCATGTCGTATACCTTCCACGCAGGAAGCACGATTTGGTGTCGGACATCTCACGTAGAACAGCCTCGAAGGTGAAGTCAGCAGCCACATCCTGAGAGGATACAGTGATTACCTCACTCAGAGTCTGGTCATCCACGTTCGACATACTTACTGTCATCCTTTTTATAACTTGAGAGACTTGGATGCAGATAGCGATTATACAGTGCGATACCTGTGTTTGAATAGTATGTCGTGCACCAGGCACACGTTGAATATGGCCTACATAAAAACACGCAGACACGTAAAAAGATGTATCGACAGTTTTGTTGGGATTTTGTTTTTACTTTTGTTGACCTTTGATTTTTCAGGATTAGGCATATTTAGGAGAACTTAAAAGGATTTGTTATTGATGGATATTTCAGTTTGCTTCTGAAAAAAACACAGTCATGCGTAAATATACTGTACAACTCAAATACTCTGTAATATTATTAGTGAAAACTACAAATTGTTCATCTTCAATTGACTCAGCCAATCTTAAAATCGGATTAACTAAAATATCATTGGTAGATTCTTTTTACCCTTCCCCACCCCACAGTCTGTCAGTCAGACACAATCCATAGCCCTCTCTGGATTGGCTCTCGAGAGTAAATATATCAAGTTTCTCTCTCTCTCTCTCTGGAGTCTGGGCAGACGAATGGAAACTTGGGCCGAAATCTATTTTTTTTACATTTATTGGTAAAAGAGAATGAATTTTTGTTCATGAAGTTCATAGTCATTTATAAACAAAAGCACTCTTAGGTGTATGGTGCGCATGGGTTAGGATATCCGTAGGAATGGTGTGGCCGTCCATTACAATATTTTTACATACACTCGGCCTCTTGAGCCAGTGAAGAAAACATTTATTTAAAATGCCAGTACTTTGGCAGCATATCAGCTTCGTAGATAGTCTGACGGAACCAAATTTCGACAGATCAATATTAAAGGATCGTGGTATTGAATAGGTCCAAGTTCCAATGTGAATAGAACACTTCATCAATTTTGAAACTACATAATAGATACTACACCTATCTACATATACACATACAATACAATAGTAAGTGATGATGATGATGATGATGATGATATATATATATATATATAAATGATCTCAAAATAGACCCATCATGTGAGCTGAAAGAGGCACACTTGCTTTGCAACCGCAAAATATTTCCTAGTGTCGGGGCAATGGTCCGAGGCCCGATTACGCAATTTATAAATTATGCCAACCAGACCTAATTATTTATATTTTATATATTGTACGCTGTCGAAGGCAATTCCTACGTATTCCACTGACCAAGAAAGAGCACTAAACTAATATTTTCATACCTTGCGAAATTCACACAGGAACTTGCGCATGAAATGGGTATGCAGCTATTTAAATACTTCGTTGGCCTGATGCAGTAGGATGTGCCGGCTGAAACACCGGATACGATCCCAGCACACGCACATTCTGGGCCAACTCATTCAAATTATCAATTGCACACTTGATCTTATCTTCTCCTGAACTTCCATCGATATCCACATACGCGACATACTCCCATGGCCTTGTAATCTCATACAAAGCACCAGCACGGTTACTTGGGCGGCTCTCAAACTTAACCACATTGATGTCTCGCAGCGCGAAACACGCCAGCGCCTTGAACAGTGCGCCAGGGCGATTTCTCAGTGAAATAATCACTGAAGTTTTGTTACACATACCAGAAATAAGTGTACACTTCTTCTCCTTAGATATAAACACGTATCTCGTCGCACAGTCCCCGGTGTCTATATCCTTGGCGAGTATGTTCAAGTTGTGTAGTCTAGCAACTGACTCGCTAGCAACTGCCGCTGTATCGCGCAACTCTCGCAGTTTGATATGCAAAGCAGCACCGGCTGTGTCCGTTGTAGCTGTCAGCGCTGCTTGCACCTCCTTACGTAAAAAAGTCTCGCATCGCTCTAATACACTCGAATGAGACAACACATTGCGGATGTCCTTCAATTCAACCCCTGGCAACGCCATCAAACACGCATCATCATGTGCGATTGTCTCACCCACGATGTTCACCTCGTGCTTTGTAAGTAAATCTAACACCTGATGAAATGTGCCGGTAATTGAGTTCTCAATGGGCAGCACAGCCAGACTGCATTCTCCTGTACTAACGGCTTCCATCAACCGATCCAACAACATAAACGAGCGAGTTTCCCAAGACTGCGTGCCTGGTTTCAAGTTCGCGTGCATGAACGACTTGGCTGCACGCTCAGAATAGCATCCCTCACTACCCCAGTATGCAATCGTCTCGTCCTCGGCACAGCCACTACTAGCCCCCGTGTTCATATTTGTATTGTTACTATAACTTGTGTGTGAAATGTGTGTGCGATTGTGTGTGGCCGGTGTTGAAGTGTTTACTGCAGAGACATTGGCGTTGTTGGAAGTCTGCAAGGGTGGGATAGTATTCCTAGGTGTCAGTCGGGAGGCGCTAGTTTCGCGAGCCATGTTAACAAGAGCGTGTGAACAGTGACTACACAGGTAATTATGCTAATTTGATTTCACTTGTGAACTGTATTTAACTATGCTGTTTTTTAGAAGATGTCATTGAATACACGCACTCTCGCTCCTCGGCTCAGTGGCTGGAGTCTATGTAGACCCCCCGTAATTAATATTCAAGTCAAAAATATTCATGACAGGCAGTGAGGACTGAGGTAGAGAGGGATTTTCCTCTTTTCTTCTTCCCACGACCCAGAGGCCAGAGGCCATAGTTCGACAGCCTGACAGACTGACAGACTGATGACTGATAGCCGACAGTCAGGTGACTCAGATCATCATGATTCAAAAACTTATTTATGAAGATATATTATTACACCACGGCCTTTCTCCTGTACACACTCGCGAAATCACGTCATGAGAATCATGCGTTTGAACAACAAACCCAATACCCTAAATAAAATCAAACTCCGCAATTAATTGCAAATATGACGTTGACAGCACTTTTCGGAAATCTCTGGTTGTCTCTCCGTGTAGAGCATAGACTATAGAGACGCATTTAGACGGTATAAAATCTGGACACGGCACGCACAGTAGTCATATCAGACATGTACTACAAGGTAAACACTCCTAAAGCATATACAAGTGTAGAGGCTTGTGTCATACCAATCACAGATATTTAGATCTGCTCGTCAGTAGAAGCTCCTTTCCCCTCTACTAGTGACTCAGGCTATAGAAATGCTTTCGGGATGATGTTAAAATAGAATTGGTTTCCTTTAGAGGTAAAGTTTCGGTGTACACCTGATATTGATATGCACTTTTGCGTAAGTAGACGGTTAATAATCGTTAACGTGAACTTGAGAAAGAAAGACAGATTCCAGGTTAATTTTAAGTATCGGATTCCCTGCCAAATACATAATACTCATGAGACACGTAGAGTAAAGTTTCGGTGCACAGAGGTGATGGATATGCCAATTTGCGTCCGTAGAAGCGCTTTTTTGTTAACGTGACATAACAATGGCACACAGAACAATTCAGATTGTTATCAAATTCGGATTGAAGGACTCTCCGCAAAGGTAACAATGAATGAGGCCAGACGAAAATGGGAGCGTTTTTCTGGATTTATAATATACGGTGGCGTTGCGTGATCTAAATTTTGGCTTTTGTGAACCAATATCAGTATGAAGAATCCTCTGTCGACATTGAAATCTTAAAGGAGTCGATGAATGGGACAGCTGCAAATGGATTTGCTTGCATCTTGCATTATCTTAGCCTTCTGAAGTTTGAACAGTGTTGTATATATATATATATATATATTTAGGTATCTATAGTAATATACATATATATAATTTATATTTATATTTATATTCATATATATATATATTTATTTATGTGTGTGTGTATGGATGTATATATGTATATATGTTCATGCATATATACTGTGTGTACACATGTACACGTGTATTTATAAATATATGGACATGCCTTATATATGTATGTATATGTATATCAATATATATGTATATGTATATATAGGTCTATATATATGCGTGTGTGTACGTGTGTGCCTTATCTGTATGCACATAAATATTATATATATATGTATTTGTATATAAATATAATATATATAATATGTATTGCAAATGCAAATGTATGTTATGGCCGTATGAATATATATATATATGTGGATATATATTTTGGCACGTATGTCTTGATGCTTAAAAACATGGACATATACATATATTTACATATTTTCTGCGTTATACGTTAATGAACAATACATTTAATATAATGGTGGACATCTCAAACATATATTAAATGTATATTTCATCGTAAAGTAGATGTTTATTCGTTTGTGGATCATACTATATATATATATATTTGTGTGTGTACAGTATACATATATATATATGATATAGTATGTATAAATATGTGTGTTAGTATATATATATATATATATATATTGATGATTGCAAAGTCATATATATTCACATTTGTGTTCTCTCTTGATTGTATTGATGTATATAGTGATATATCATACATATATCTATATCCATATATATATATGTGTGTACACGTACGCGTACACAGACATGCGTGTTCTTATATGAGATTTTGCACTACACAGATGTGCGTGTCGTCTGCAGATAATCTTAATGTCCTATGTTTATGTTGTTCATACCCTAGCAAGATATCGGAACAAGATTGAACTAGCTCTGTGCTCTGGGCCCCAGCGAAATCAATTTATTTAATAGGACTCAAGACATTCGGGACGATCTTAAGCCCCTTTTTCTTGTTATATCTGGTGTGATATCCAGTTGGTATTCCTCGTGGAAAATACAGACCGTCTCCTTCTCATCAGAGATTGTTAGTATGATACTATCAAGGGATAAGCACCTATACACAGATAGTCTGCCGCTATGGTAACATTGTCAGGATCGGTGAGAGTGACATCTTGGAATACCAAAAGCAATTTGTTCCAGAGAAATGTTAGGGATGCACTCCGTGCACTGTATGTAATTTGCAGTTTGCACGTTGGGAACTGCATCACATGACTATCAACCGACTTCACCGCACGAGGCAGATTTAATGCTATTCCCGAACGATTCCTATTTGCACACGCCGACTATATGTGCAATATAACAGTGTTATTGAACCTCTGCTTTGCAGCGTATCGAAATGTTCTAAAACAAAATATTGTCTCTGTTTTGATCAATGATTCTATTGATTTATTATATGACAGTTTTTAATCGCCCAATGAAAATGCGCAGTGCTCTATTCACTACTTATTTCTGATTTCGCCGGTGTCACAAGCTTTTTTTTTTAAATGAATATTCTGTCACGTGTCAAATTTTTCAATACCAACCCCCACAACAACACGATGTCATGGGTATACCTAGAGTACCACCGAGGGCCGGTTGGGCGGGATAGCCTTTCTATCAGGACTACGTAGAACAAGAGTAGCACTCACTATCAAGTATCAAAGGATGAGTCATTGGCTGGTGTGAGTGTTGGGAGCACCTCAGCTGACAACGACTCTTCTGCAGCAAAAATAAAAAGGGGAAACCTGCATTGCTGGGATCGTTTGATTATTTAGAGTAGAGAGGTGTTGGAACTTTTGGAAGATTTGTTTGTATTTTTATTTTGATACACTGAAAGTCTGAAAGTGACTCTGAGTGCGGGTGCTATTGCGTGAGCCATAGGGACCCTTTTGAATCAGAGTTTAGAACCGAGTAACTTTGAACTCTTGGAAACGTACACCAACATATATCTACGGAGACAGCAGTACACTCTGGTCCAGCAAAGCACGCAGACGGTCGATCCAGCATTACCCGAGGTTGTACCACCATACACTTCAACGTGACCAAGTGCAACATCTACATTGCACAGCATGTCGGACATTACCAAGAAGGATGAGGCCAAGCCTTTCTCAGAGGAGAAGGTAGAGGATGATAGTCCCCGCTTAAAACGCTCTGGATCGCTCTCATCGATTGTAGAGACCACCAGATTGGCATGGGACAGAGTTAGACAAACGTACAACAGTGGTGAGTTTGTCGTATCCTGGAGGGACATCATGCTCGGATTCCACAAGTACAACCCACTGGGATCACGAATGGTAGCTACTAGTGTCTCTGCTGTATTGCTTGGCTTGTTCGTTACACACTACACTGAGTACAACCTCATCCCAGACACTCCTGATGTGACTGTGGAGTACGCAGCCGTGTTCTTTGGCTGTGCTGTGGTGTTTATCCAATGCATGTACCTCATGAACCGTACAAAACCTGTATACATCCTTGACTTTGCTACGTACAAAGCTCCGCCCGAATATTCGTGCTCGCCCGAGACTTTCATGGAGCTATCGCGTGCTGCTGGTGTATTCAGTCAAGAAAGTCTTGAATTCCAAGAGAAACTCTGTAAACACACTGGATTGGGACCCAATACAGCTGTGCCCGATAGTTTCTTCAAAGCAAAGCAGATTGCCGAAGGAAAGAAGCAGAGCGATGTGTTGTCAATGGCAACGGCCCGTGCGGAAGCTGAGGAGGTGTTGTATACCGTTGTACAGTCTCTTCTGGATAAGCAACAGATCAAGCCCGAGAACATTGACATCCTGATTGTAAACTGTAGTTTGTTCAGCCCTACACCGTCCATGAGTGCGATGGTGGTCAACAAATTCAAGATGCGACATGATGTGAAAACCTACAATCTGTCTGGTATGGGATGCTCCGCCGGTTTAATCTCCGTAGACCTGGCCAAGGATCTACTCCAGGTACACAGAAATGTTAACTGCTTGATCTTGAGCACTGAGAATATCACACAGAATTGGTATCTGGGCAGACAGAAGTCCATGTTGCTGACCAACACGCTCTTCCGAATGGGTGGGGCCGCTATTCTGCTCAGCAACAAATCCAGGGATAGCTCACGTGCGAAGTATGAGCTACAGCACACTGTCAGGTATATGATGTAACATCCTTGGCATTGACAGTGTATTGGGGTGATCTCGTCCCACACACCGTAGTGATGTTTTTAAAATAAGTACTTTTCTGCGTTCGAGAATTGTCATATAAATGTGTCATCTGTTATATATATATATATGTAGATATATATATATATGTGTGTGTGTGTGGTGTGTGTACACATGTGTATAAGTAAAATTATATATATATATATGTAGTGTGTGTGAGTGTGTGTAGGGTGTACACATGTGTATATAATATATATATATATATATATGTGTGTGTGTGTGTGTGAGAGAGAGAGAGAGAGTATGTACACATGTGTATAGTAAAACTTTATATACATATATATATATATATGTGCGTGTGTGAGAGAGAGTATGTACACATGTGTATAAGTAAAAAAATATATATATATATATATATATATTCTTTTTAACAAGACATATCGTACATAAACTTTTAAGTGTTGCTGAACGTCGACACAAGGAATTACATAAGTGATGCTAGGTGGGGTTCTTGAAATTGGCATGTATGGCATATGAAATCATACCCTTGCACGCCTACACGTGTAGATTCCTCCCAAGACAGTTTCTTTTTACCTATATTAAACACGTCGTAGACATATATACACACATACATATACTGTTACGTTCTCTCTTGTACTTGCATGAAAACTGTTGCAATGGCCGTATCTAAACAGTACGTATCCACTAGCTTGTATGCAAATATACCACACACTCACACACTCACACCAGCACCTTCGCCATGAACGTACGCACGCCTGCAGAACACACCAAGGTGCCTCTGACCTCGCGTACGAGTCCGTCTACCAGGCCGAGGACAGCGACGGTACGGTGGGGGTGCGCCTGTCCAAAAAGATTATGGACGTGTCAGGCGTAGCCCTGCGACAAAACATCACCACGCTGGGGCCACTCATCCTGCCCTGGTCTGAGCAGATCAAGTTTGTCTGGAACTTTGTGCAGCGCAAATGGCTCAAACAGACCGGTGTGAAACCGTACTTGCCCAATTTCAAGGGGGCTGTGGAGCACTTTGCCATTCACACGGGTGGTCGTGCGGTGATTGATACCCTCGAGGAAGTCCTGGCACTGAGTCAGTACGATTGCGAGCCGTCCCGCTTTGCGCTGTACCGCTTTGGCAATACATCGTCGGCGTCTGTGTGGTATGTCGGTGGTTGCTAGGTTACACTGCACCTCGTCCATGCTGTTGTGTGGTGCTTATGTTTTAGGGTTCATGGCTTGTATCGCTGTGTGCTGGGTGTTGGGTGTTTACTGGTAGTCCCGCGTGTGTGTGTGAGGCGTGGTGTCTCTGAAGGTGGTGGTGCGTGTAGCCATGTGTTTGTCGCAGGTATGCCTGCTTGGTCTAGCATGACTATCACTTGACCGACTAAATACAGCAAGTCATCCTCCCTACACACCGTCACTGCCCAGTCTAATTCCCCCAGGCGCATAGGGTTTTGTGGATTGTATTAGTTAGAGGTATAGTACTGTCCATAGACGTTGGGGATTCGAGTGCGGTCGGCAATGACTGCAGGTGAACTGCTACTTACTATACATCTCACGGGTATTAGGATTTGTATTAGTACCTGGTACTGTCATAGCCATACGACTACCAACAAGTAGTATGACCTCCCCCCCCGCCCCACCACACACACACATGCACAGGTATTTTTTCATTGTGCTTACCTTATTTGTCCATCCCGCAATGTCCCGCAATACCCAGGTACGAGTTGGAGTTTATGGAGTGCGACGGTCGTATGAAGAAGGGTGACCAGGTGTGGCAGATTGCGTTTGGTTCAGGCTTTAAATGCAACTCGGCTGTGTGGAAGGCGAGGCGCACGCTGCCCAAGACTGGGACCGACTATTAAAGCGCATACTGAGGAAGGTTGTGCACGCGTGTGCTGGGGGGGGGTAAATATGCATGTGTCGGAAGGATGTGGACGGGCAAGCTAGCCTATGAGAGGGACGCTAGTGTATGGAGTTGTACGTGCATACACACACATGTACACTCGCACGATACGCTAGGGTGTATGGATGGCCAGTGAAGAGTGGGTGTCTGTGTCTGTGTGCGTGTACGTGTACGTGACTCCAAATTTAGTATAGGGTATGTGGACATGTTTTAATTTGATTTAGTTGTGTGGGCGAAAACGTGCGTAGCTATGGTACGGCATGAATAAACGAATCTGCAGGAGCCGAACATCAGGCCATGTGTCTATCTGATGGGACACGTGGTATATATCTAATATATAAATATATATATAAAGCATCCTGTATGGAACAAGCACGGGTCCTTGTATTCAGTGGTACGGTTGAATGGTGAGATTTAAAATGCGAAAGCACTAGTATGTGCATGGCTGCGATACATGCACTGTAAGCCACAAGTATAGATATACGTATCGTTTACAAGTCGAGCCTTGTTTTGATTGATTCTGTACCGAACAGCATATCACCTGCATCTATTTTGAGCGACACAACGAGAAAACGTGTCGATTGGTTCTGTATTGATAAGCATATATAATATTTTTATATGAGTGACACACACATTTATCTATATGTGACACATACATTAAATGTATCTACTATGGACTGCACTCGTCGTTCATCCTGGAAGAGGCACAACCCAGGTGGCCTGTTGTAGTAGTTCGTGGTCTTGTTCAACGTATGTAGTGCGCTATTATTAGAATTCCTATAGGTGTCGCAAGTATGCAATTTTTTTCTACAGGTATCGCAAGTATGTAGTGTGCTTTTATCAGAATACCTATAGGTGTCGCAAGTATGTAGTGTGCTATCATTAGAATACCTGCAGGTGTCGCAATTATGTAGTGTGCTATTATTAGAATACCTATAGGTCTCGTAATTATGTAATGTTTTGTTACTAGATCGAGTAATATTCGACGCAGGATGGGGGCTGGGCATTTTCTTGCATAGAGTTGGTGATGATCAAGGCAAAAGCATGTGTTTGGTTTGGATGGCAGCAAGGTTGTAACTGATTCAATGGATTTGCTAAACCGGTCAACGGAGACCGAACATCTTCTTTTGAACTGAGTCGTGAAATGGAATATGTGCAATATGACTTTAAATCCTCTCTCAGTATTTCAAGGCCTATCATCGCTAGTGCTTACTTCCGCAAAGCTGTAAGTTTAGCTGAGGATACTGAATGAGCGATTGGGTTAAACTGTTTGTCGGGTATGGCAAACTCACCTTGAATACATGAATACATATATAGATATATACATCTATATATATATATATACCTATAATATATAATATATATATATGTATGTATATATATATATATATATATAATAATATATATATATATTATAATATATAATAACAATTATATATGTATAATATATATATATTATGTATATGTATATATTTTATTATATTATATATATATATATATTTATGTGTGTGTGTGTGTGTATATATATATATGTATATATATATATATAATAAATATTAATAATTATAGTAATAACAATAATAATGATAATAGTAATAGTAATAGTATATATATATATATATATATATATTTGTATCTGAATGAATTCGTACTCCGGTATCGATATAGAATCTGTCATAAAGTATCAATGGGGATCCATCCTGATTGCATCCACCGCTATATAACAAACCAGTACAAATTGGACCAAGAGTCATCGCTACATCACTGTTAAACCCGAGTCAACATTTGGCTTGTCTGTGACGTCACAAGCCAACCCAAAAAGTCAACCCTACATCACTGTTGAACCCAACCCTGCGGCTTTCACAGTCATAAACCCATTTCAGTGAACCAGTCACTGCGACAGACACCTGGTCAACCCAAACACGGCACTGCCCATTGAGTACTGATCTGATAAGACTTCAAACTACAAACACCGTGCTCGAGATTAAGCCTTTTTACTTTGCTTGTGAGATACCCAGCGCAGCACTCATCGCGGCACTGTAAGCTCCACGCGAATACAGCCCCACTTTGTTTGCCCCAACCCTTACGGCACCTGGTTATAAACACTCTTTATATACCCACCCACTCTACATACACCTACACTACAGCGTCCGACTATGAGGTGGAATGTCTCGATATAAATATATATATGTATATACCTCCACTATATCTACCCATCACCAACTAACTACAGCAAGTACCCCCGCAGTAGCGGTCTTGCTATGGCAAATTCTATACAAGAGGGTTCGGCTGTATGTGTGCGTAGCAGGATTCTCCTCCAGAGTGACAGACAGTATGACAGTAGCGGGACGATATACCCACCCCAGCGGCATACAGAGATAGACAGCCACCCACAGATATGCACAGTAGCTTAACGCTTGACCCTGTAGCAGAGAGAGAGAGAGGGAGAAAGAAGGGTTTAACACGTTTCATATTGTGTGTTCATATGGACACGAACGTACTTTTGAAGACATGTGATGCATCAAGTGAGTCCCTATGCATATGCCGTGCCACTACAACTCATTGTTTTCATATTAATGAGATCAACCGCAGCGATCGAAAGGAACGCAAGAACAGAGTGAAACCGATGATGAGTATACGACCCAGTGTATCACTGCCACTTCACAGTCACTACACCCGTTGTCAGGGCAGAGTCTTAAACCCTTTAGGAGGGCAGCAGACAGTCCCAACACCCAGAAAGAACCCACAACGAAACAACTGCACAAATGAGAGTAACATAAGCCATCGAGCGAAGGTAAGGGAATGTTCGGTAGTATTTCAGGGCTTGACGCACCCCACCAAAGTGTTTGAAAATTGCCTCAGGATACTACCAACGCCATATGCGTCCTGTACATAATATCCAAAACGTTAAACAGTAATGCAATATACGTTAAACATTGACAGTACACAGACAGTGCATGCTGCGTCCCTCCCTGTCACTACGGGAACGACAACGCTACGAGTGCGCTTACGTACCAAGCAAACTTTTTTCGGGCCTTTTTCTGTCCGGATTTCTTCCTTTCCACGACGCGCGGATCGCGCGTAACCAAGTTGATCTCTCGCGAGAGCTTAGTTTTTTCACGTACTTTCTCTGCGGTGGTGAGGGAATAACGTTGGTGAGAAAATATGCAACACGTACTTGAATGATCACACTAATCTCACGCGAGTATGGCTTTCTCAGGAATCCTCGCAGTGATGGCCCGGAAGTGTAAGTAGTGTGGGGATAAGGCGTGAGTGGTCTAAAGACCAAGCAGGCTTCTCTCGGATTATAGTCATGGTGAAGCGATTTAGAGAAGTTCGGAGAGAAGCAGTGAGTCATGCAAGGTGGCAAACAGTGCCTCCTGGAGGACCCCTCTGCTTCGGTGGGTATCTCAGCCATATATATATATATATATATATGCGAGGAAGTGCACACAGATATCAGTGGGTGTTGGCTGCAGCCTTGTAGTTTTTCTAACCTACGCTAAGTGTCTCCGTGCATTGCACCTGCGCATGTCCTAAGGGCCATGTGAATGGCTTGCGATACAGGATGCGCTTAGAGCGGGCTGTGATAATACCGTTCACATGTAAATTGAGTAATAGAGCTCGATAATATCGTACACACCCATAGAGACTTGTAACCTACAATAGCATAATACGACGATATATCAAATGGTACCCTACAATAGTATAATACGCCGACACATCAAAGGCCAACCGATGCAAGAGTATCCTTTGTATACCACAGTCAATCGACCGACACATGTGTCGGTGAACCGACGCGTCGCCAATAAAAAGTGTATTGCTTTGTTAGGCGTCGCTTAGTTCGGTGATCGGGTTGCGCAGGTAGTTTAACATCACCACTTAGCCACACCTCTATGTCACGCTCATGTCTCATGACCTTACGTACTTGCTCACATTCAAAGCCTGTCGTATTAAACCGCACCCATTGACACTTACACTCACACTCGACCCACACCACCAGCGACTCGACAACCACCAACGCAAAAGATACACTGTAGTTTATCAATATATAAACCATGGTTTTTCTGGAGACCATACCTGCTCGCAGGGTACCCTTGAAGCGGGGATTGAGATAGTACAACGCACGAGTGATACCGTGACGGATGGCCCCGGCTTGTCCTGTATATGGAGTGTGTGAAATGGGACCGAGATTTAATTCTAGATCGAGGTGCCGATATCATATTGAGGTATATTTTTGTATATCTTAATATGCATATAAGGAACAGTGTACTACCCAGTGACTACCCAGTTGATCGCAGAAGCCCCCTTCAGTGCGCAATATATATTACAAAAGGGGTTGTGCCAAGTATAGATATAGATATATATGTTTGGAGTGACGGTGTTGTAGTGGGCCTTTAAGGCGTTTCGACTAGGCACAAAGCGCCTGAAATGTATGTGTTAGTCATACGGATTGGAATGGAAGTCTGCAACAAGCATGGAATCACCATACAAATGTGAATGGAAGCTTACAACATACTTGATTTAATCATACCAATGTGAATGGGAGCCTATAACACGTATGATTTAATCATACCAATGTGAATGAGTCATGTGTCGGTTGGACTACAGCTGCACATACTATCCATCTGAATACATGCACGCACGAGCACAAACAATATGACTTGACTACAACGGCACAGTGTCTTCTAAGTGCACCGTGGCTAGCTAAAAATCTGGGCCTTCGTATGCACACTATTGAAATACTCATACAGAGTCGCATGTCATTCCAATGAGCTATATGCATCCTATATGCATCTCTAATACTTCCAATATATATATATATATATATATATATAATTCACATACGCAATACAATTCACATACCTGTAGTTCCGCCACCAGTGACGGTTGCCATGACATCGAAGTTGCCCACCTGTTGCACAGCCAGGAATGGATGCACCAGCATGTACCGCTCCGAATCCTAAAAACGAATTAGGATTGGGTTTCAGAATCAGTATTGGAACGGAGGGTATGGGCAGTTGACAAGTTAGAATGAGTATGAACGAGTTTAGGTTCAGGGCAGCCAGAGATTGAAAGGTGAAGATGAAGGTATGAATGGGTCTATAGAATAGGACAATCTTGGGCAGATAGTCCAACCCAAGCGTGCAACAGGTGCATCTGAAACCAAATACTCGATGAAAGGTGCATTGTGCACTGCAATCTCAATTATCGTCTGTCTGAAGGGACCGGTGAGTCATCGCGGGCATGTGTCTGACAGAGCATACGGAACGTTGTGATGCGGTGAGTACACTTTCGACTAGACAGGCATAGCAAATAGCAAGTGCACTCAGAGGGGTTGTAGCTGAGATGGGCCATGAGACTGGTGAGGACTAGGCACCTGAGTGTGAGTGGCTAGTTGGGCATACCTACACATAATCAAAGGGACCAGTACCAAAACAAGGAGAGGACAGGTGCACATACCCTCTTGAAGTAGATGGACGCGGGTTGGCCGTTGACCTTCATTTTGCCGTTGCCTCTGGAGATCCACACGCGCGCAGTAGACGCCTTACGCTTCCCAGTGGCGTACATTCGACCCTGTGCACAATTGCCATGAGAGGTTTAGGTTTAGGGTATATATGGTATAGGGTATTGGGTTCAGTATATATCAATAAAACAAGGGTTTAGGGTTTAGTATATATCCATGAAACACTACATTCAAAGCCATACAGACCAACAAGGCGTAAGGTTGGTATTCATAGCCACCTTGCTTGCCCCCTGGGACACCTCATGTGCCATACATGCACTGTGCTTGTGCAAACGAGTGAACTACACAGCCATTACCTTCTTATCCAAGACAGTGCTTGTACAACGAGTGAACTACACAGCCATTACCTTCGCATCCAAGACATTGTGCTTGTGCAATGAGTGAACTGTGAACTACACAGCCATTACCTTCGCATCCAAGACATTGCGTTTGTACAACGAGTGAACTACACAGCCAATACCTTCTCATCCAAGACATAGTGCTTGCGCAACGAGTGAACTACACAGCTATTACCTTCGCATCCAAGACATAGTGCTTGTGCAACGAGTGAACTACACAGCCATTACCTTCTCATCCAAGACCTTTGGTTTGACCTTCTTGTCGTCGAGTGCTCCTGGCTTGAGGTACGGCATCAGTAGATCGAGTACGTACGGGTAACGCTGCAGGGGTATGGTCCAAAGAGAGATGCCAGGCGTTATGTTTCGAGACAAAACGGTATGATTTCACATCGGTTCAGAATGGTATACCTTGTGTGCTAACTACCTGCTGAAATACTGGTACGAGTATAGAGGTCGCCTACATAACGTATGCTCAATAGACACGCCGGTCAGTCGTTCGTGATCCCTGGCACGCGTTGTGTGTGTGAATGGTGTACAACAAACGAACAATCGACCACTCACAACATAGAGCTATGCACGCACGGCGAAGGACTGTTGGGGGATGGCGATAGGTACTGTTTGGATAAGAGATGGAGAGATAGACAACTTGTACAAACACCACCTCAGTCTACATACACCTACTCACATCAAGTACACTAGTACAACACTACACACACAACACTACTCACATCAAGTACACTATTACAACACTACCCACATCAAGTACACTCAGGGATCATCCCCCCCCGCCCACTTACAGAGTCCTTGATGATGGTGTTGAGGACATCAATCATGCGGCGGTAGTGAATGGCTCGCAATTCCGCACCGATTAGCGCCTCCATCATTTTTTGGGTCAGAAACGGCGCGTTCACCGCCAACAGTTGTGGTGGGGGTGGGGAGATGGGCTGTGGAAATGGGGATGATTTAAATTGGGATGATTAAAATTGGGTTGATTTGCAGAAATCAGATTCGAAATTGGAAATGGGGACTACAATCAGCAAAGATGTCCGGGATATTTGTTCACAGCTACTGCATTCCCGTAAGATTACGTCTTTCCACAATTACTGCATTCCCGTAAGATTACGTCTTTCCACAGTTACTGCATCTTGTACACTTACGTATTTCCACAGTTACTGCATTCCCGTACACTTACGTATTTCTTCTGGCCCATGCGGATGAGGATCTCCTCGAGTTTGTAGTACTCATCGTAGAACTCGGCATATCCCGTGAAGTACGCCTGCGACACTGGACGCCCATTCTCTATCTTCACTGTGTTCTTCGGGTTCTGGGGTGCAGGTGTGTGTATACGTATGTGAGGACTTTTACGTTAACATGTACATGAGCATTCCTTTGGTATTCTGAGGTGCAGGTGTGTGTGTATACGTATGTGGGTAGGTTGACGTCAACATGTATATGTAGGTTTACGTCAATATGTACTTGTCAATGAGCTTTGTTTGACATTGTGGGATAAGTATATATATATATATATCTATAAGATATAGATATAGATATTTATATATATGCAAATATGTATATATATATATATATATATGTATAAATTTAAATATAAATATATACATATATATATATATAAATATATATATATATGAATATATATATGTGGGGGGTGGCTGTGTGTGGCGATGTATGTTTCCATAGCACTCTTGAGCACGGGAGTGTGTATACAAGTGTGCGTAAGCGTATAAATATATGAATTTCTTTATCTTGTGCGTGTGAGTGAGTATCTCTCTGTGTGTGTGTGCGTGTGTGTGTGTATGTATGTGTCTGCAATAAACAGCGTGTCGCCACTTACAGTGTCCTCGGGGTGTCTGTCGTCTCGGCTCTCGTCATCTGAGTCGGCGTAATATTCGTCTGGCAGGTTGTACGCTGCTTCTACGTACGTGGGCTCGTAATGGTCTCTGAGCTTTGTGGGGCGTCTGTGAAGTCGTGTGTGTGTGTATGTGTGTGAGAATAGATATAGATGTGTGTGTGTGAATATATATACATGCGCATGTGTGTGAATAGATATACATGTGTGTGTGTGAATGTGATGTGGTGATATTTGTGTGCGTGTTTGCGAATGGATGTGCTGTGTGTGTGGTATGTACAAGACTCTGCATGCTCTTTGTATTGGTAGTAGTACTCCATGATCCATATAACCCCCCAACCCCTCTCCCCAAAGGCCCAAGGCACACTCATGATCGTGTACAACTGCGTCTGTGTCAATCGATCTTGTACCAGAAGTTTTCAGATCCTCTACCCACCTATGCTTCTATACTCAATTATCAAGGTACACAAGGTTCTCCCGTCTATGGCAATGTGTCCTATGTCGACACACCTGAACATAACGTATCACTCCCCTCTCACGCATGTGTGCTGCTGCTGCTACTACTGGAAGGTATAGTCCACACACCCGCAGCAACAACGCGTTGACGTCACCACTCAACCACACAACTCACTCACCTGCGGCCCATGCACACCGTGTGCAGCCGCGTGGATGCACTGACACACACACACATATATATATATATATATATACAAACGTACACGCACGCACACGCCTGAGAACCGTCACGTATGCCAGAAGACGCGCAGTGTGGAGCCGCTAGGTGTGCACGTGCATACGAATGTGGGGTGTTTGATGTGAAACTGCTTGAGTGTTGGTGTGTGACTAGTGTGTTACTACGTCTGGCGGCCCACACTCGCAACAATCCGGGCATACATACCTACACACACACCGATCCCAAAACACATATAAGCATACAATTGCAGGCACACCTTACACCTGCGTACTGTAGCAAACACAGTCAACTGCACCCCATGACACCCCCTGACACCTGCAAGCACACGCATACTTACAGTGAAGGTGTGGTGGGGTCTCCCTGATACACCTCAGGCAGCCAGTACTGCATCTCCTTGCGGATGGATTCGTTGGTCACCTGCATAGTCCCGTCTACCCAACCACAGTAGCAGCCAAAGGGAGCCATCAATTGTGTGAGTGACAATATGCAATGGATACCATATGTAGTGTGCCATAGTGGCGGTCGGTTTAATCCAGGTAGTCATACAGAGCTCGACCGCCGGGTGCTATCAATAGTGTGGTGTCAGTGCCGAACTTATGCCATCGCGTGCGGCGGTGACTGTCTAAGTGCCAGTGCCAATTGGTACCCGCGAGCGTTGTTGTTGTATTGATATGCGGAACGGACTAGCGGCCTACTAAGGGGTGTGTATACGACGACACTCGTAATACTAACCACATGTACACCACAAGCAGGATATGCGCACATGCAATTGAAACGCCCTCCTCCCCCCACTCCGAGACACGCACACACTTGCGAACACTCAGACAGAAGAACCTCCAATGATGTACGTACAATATGCACACGCCTATTCTTCAGTGTATTGAATGGTTGCTATCTAATGGGTCCATAGATGTCTCTCCTATCAAACAAGAACACCGAGCCTTAAGTGCGATCACAAGAACGCTTGGACTTACACTCGCAACACAACACCACACAAACATACATATCTCACCAATGCAACATCCATAAAAATCTCTAACCAATACTACACAAACATCCATACCTAATCAACACAAACATCCATACCTAATCAACACAAACATCCATACCCAACCCACACAAACATGTATATCTAATCAGCACAAACATTCATATCTAATTAACACAAACATACATATCCAATCCACACAAACATCCATATCTAATCAACACAAACATCCATATCTAATCAACACAAACATACATATCTAATCAACACAAACATCCATATGTAATCAATACAAACATCCATATATAATCACGACAAACATACATATCTAATCAACACAAAAATCCATATCTAATCAACACAAACATCCATATATAATCAACACAAACATCCATATGTAATCAACACAAACATCCATATCTAATCAACACAAACATCCATATCTAATCAACACAAACATACATATCTAATCAACACAAACCTCCATATCTAGCCAATATCACACCGTTCCCTTGCGTACTACCCACCCACCTGCTTGCTTCTCCGGTGGGAAGATACTCGCCACCACCCGCTCTGTGGTCTTCTCGAGCCCTGAGACGAAAACCGTTCCTTTCCGCGTGTCCACTTTACACTCCAACTCATAAGGTTCACTATTGGGATCATAGTCTCTACGCTGCTTGACATCGCGGACGTCATCGGCCGCCCGAGGTGATAGATAGTCTTCGTTGAGGAGGTTCTGCGTGGATGTGGGAAGGGAGTGGTAGGGTGAATGGCTGTATAGGCATATATACGTAGGTGGATGTATAACCATGTATATATGTATATGTAAGGGTGAATAACTGCATGTGCATATATACGTAGGCGGATGTATCACCATGTATATGTTTATGTAAGGGTGTGGATAGAGGCAAAAAGCTTTCGTTAAGAAGGGTCGGTATCAACGTGAAACGGAAAGGCAGGGCAGACGAGAATACATACATAGAGACATTGTTTGTTTGTATGTACATCGGATCACAATTGGCGGTATGTGTCAACTGGTGCTATTGGTTGAACCGATTATATGTGTGCGCAGCACGGAAGTGGCAGGTTGACACCAAGCTATATATATATATAAATATATATATATATATATATATATATATATGTGTGTGTGTGTGTGTGTATAATATATATATATATATATATATGTGTGTGTGTGTGTGTGTGTGTGTGTATCTTTATATATGGATGTGCATGTAAGTAGTTGGTGACAGGTGGCCGCCCTTGAGAAGACTCAGTGCACATGTTTTATGCAGTGGCGGGGTAGATGTGGACGCACATGTAGGTACAGTACACGTGTATATATGCCAGCTAATGTACACAGGTGCCAACAGCTAGGTATCCGTCGAGGAGGTGGTGTCTGCACGTGACATGAAACTGATGGGTACAAGAGACTACATATGCAACTATAGTGTGCACAGATCAGATAATATTCGTAAGCTGGTTACAGCACATGGTATTCCTTGATGATAGGTGTACACGTGTCACGGAGATAGAAGGAGATGTGACGAGAGACATATATGTACACATAAACACAGTTGTACGTGGGCAGCAATGCGCAGTCTTCCTTCATGTGGCTCTGCCAGGACCTGCCACGTAAGTGTCAAGGCAAACAACTGGCTATGTGCATATATCAGTAGGTATATATCAGTAGGTATACATCAGTAGGTATGTATCAGTAGGTATATATCGGTAGGTATATATCAGTAGGTATATACCAGAAGGTATGTATCAGTTGGTAGATATCAATATGTATATATCAGTAGGTATTTATCAATAGGTAGATATCAATATGTATATATCAGTAGGTATTTATCAGTAGGTATATATCCGTAGGTATATATCAGTTGGTATTTATCAGTAGGTATATATCAGTAGGTATATATCAGTAGGTAGGTATCAATAGGTGCCCTGTCGTCCCCATCGCTGCTGTGTGAATGTCCCACGACCCAATAAACCCACACACACCTTCATGTTGAAGCCATCCAGAGCATTGAGCAACGGAGTTGCTTTCCCGTTGTTGGTGCCCTTAGCTGTAGCCTTGTGCTTGGAGTTGTTCTTATTATTGTCGTCACTGGCATCCTTCGTTTCCGCCGCTAGTGGTTCTGTCGAGTACACGCGTGCACTGACACGTGTGCGTAGATTGTTGTATAGTGTTGTGTGCGTGTAGCTCGATGGCTGTGTGCCAGTCACAGCTTTCCTAGAGCTCATCCGTAGCACAGTCCTCGCCTGTGGGCGGGAGGAAAGATGCGGACGTATCAACTTGAGAGCTTGCGGGTAACCATGGTGACCAGAGCACATAACACTGCTGTATGTCATCGATAAATCCTTAATACGTACTTTGTCGTTGTTGCGTCACGCCATCGCAATCACTAGTAAAGACGTTGAGCGATGTAGACGTCTTTGTATATAAATGTAAAGCATACGGAATCACATATGTATATATATATATATATATATATAAATATATATATAAATAAATAAATATATATATATATATATAACTTTACATATATACAAGTGCATGACGTATATGTAAGCATAAAAAATATACATAAAGCCACAAAAACCTTCGTTCAGCCAGCGCATGTCTACATCCAGTACCGAGATAAAAAATAAATAATCCTTTACACTCAACCAAAACATGAACAAAGTCCTGTATATATATATATATATATATATATACGTATACAATATATATCATATATACAAAGAGATATATACTCTATATA